TGGGATATTTCACACAGGTGGGCACAGTGGATCCTTTATAGAGCCATCTGTATTGTAACTGAGCTACTTTTCCCGCCAAAAATCACTGACATCACATTTAAATCACCCACGTAGAGTAATAACTGTTGGAAAGTTAATGATTAGATAAATATACACAGTATGGTCATTTGAAACCACCCTGTATTTCAGCAGTGTGTTCACACATTCCTGAAAAGAAAGCAGCCATAAGGAAGTAGACAGAACAAGGAAACTGTATTAACACACTCTCAGAGCTCAGGTAATGCCCAAAGGACCAACCACTGGGAGAAAGCTGACTAGAAGAATCCACGGTGTGTGATTAGCCAACATCGTCTCTCACCTATGTGTCCCCCTCCTGCTTCTCCTATTCCCCCAAAGTCTATTCTCCAAGCAGCAGCCACAGTAATCTTTTCAAAATGCAAATCTGATTGTGCCTCTCCCCAGCTTAAAACCTTCCAGTGGGTTCCCACTGCCTCTTAAAACTGAATCCAAACTCTCCACAGGGCCCAAAAGTCCCTATGTGGCCCACCTTGGTCTCCGTTCTAATCTCATCTCCTGACACTCCTTCTCTCAGGTGCTGTGTTCTAGGTACACAGGCTTTTTTCTTTTTCTTTTTCCAATTTTCTGAACACCCTAAGCTCTACACAGGTTTAAGATTTTTAATACTAGTTATTCTCCCATCTGAAATGCTCTGTCCCTGTATCTTCCCACCAGCAGAACTTTCTCATCCTCATTCAGGAGCTAAGGCAGGCTCCCCCAGAGTAATTCGCTCTCACATCACCCCCATTTTATTTTCTTCACAGGAAATCAGGTTGTTTATTAGTTGTGCTTACTGTTTCTTCTTACTACACTGTAGACTACATAAGAGCAGGGCCTTATGGATCTTGCTTACTGTTGTATTCCCAAAGTCTAGAACAGTACCTAGCAAAAAGTACCAAAAAAAAAAAATCTGAACGTAATGCCATCAGGTTGATTCCAACTCATAGCGACCCTACGGGGCAGAGCAGAACGGCCCCATAGTGTTTCCAAGGAGAAGCTGGTGAATTCAAACTGCCAACATTCTGGTTAGCAGCCAAGCTCTTAACCACTGCGTCAATGGGGCTCCAGTAAATTGTTTGTTTGAATAAATCAAGACAGATCTCAAAATTAAAAGTCAGAACCATTACGCCAATGCTTGAAACTCTTAATAATAGACCTGAGAAGTATCTGATCATCCTATGCCAGCCACTTTTAGTAATAGCGAACTCTCTCTTCCCAAAGCAGGCAATTCCATCCCTCAACAACTTGAGTTATTCAAAAGCCGTTCCTTTTCAAGGTGAAGTCTGATGCCTTGTAGCTTTTATTGATTTGTGGAGGCCTTTATGTTGGTAGTGCAAATAGTTAAGCACCTGGCTGCCAACCAAAAGGTTGGTGATTCGAGTTTGCCCAGAGGCAACTTGGAAGAAAGGGCCTGGTGATCTACTTCTGAAAAATTAGCTACTGAAAACCCTACAGAGCGCTGTTCTACTCTGACACACGTTGGGTCACCGTGAGTTGGAATCAACTTGATGGCAACTATTTGGAGTCCCTGTGTGGTGCAAATGGTTAATGCACTCAGCTGCTAGCAAAAACGCTGGAGATTTGAGTTCACCCAGAGGTACTTCAGAAGAAAGGCCTGGTGTTCTATTTCTAAAAAATCAGCTACTGAAAACCCTATGGAGCACAGTTCTACTCTGACACACACGGGGTCACCATGAGTTGGAACTGATTCGACAGCAACTGCTTTTACGTTCATGCAGAACATATTTCTTCTGTTTCACACATGACAGTGATTCAAGTATCTACAGAAGGTGATTGCACCTTCTCTTGGCTGAGTAGTCCCAGTCTTCTTAACAGCTCTTCATATGGACAGTTATGGGTCTTATCACCATCCTTCCACTACTCCACAACTGCCCTGGATCACAATGTAGTCTCACACTCAGTTATCATACTACACCATGAATATTCAACTCTGATCCAATTTAACCACTTCTTATCTGATTGGATCAACTGATCCCTTTCTCAGGGAGTGTGGCCTGATTTAAGTTAACCCTTACCCCCTTCCAGTTCATATTCATCCACAATCTCCAATCCATATGTGTTTCATACAACCAAGCGCTTTCTATCTCTATAATCTCAGGACAGTCATTCCAAAGAAGATGTCCCTCCACTAAAGACATCCTCTTCCAATCATGTTAGGCAAAGGGAAGGACAACAGACTACAGGCGAAGTCAGCACAACTGAACTAAACCAAAGCTAAGAAGTTTCCTCAATACAATCAAATACTTTGAAAGACAGAGTAGCAGGGGTAGGGGTCTGGGGACCACGCTTTCAGGGGACATCTAGGTCAACTGGCATAACAAAGCTTATTAAGAAAATGTTCTGCATCCTACTTTGGTGAGTGGCGTCTGGGGTCTTAAAAGCTTGCAAGCGGCCATCTAAGATGCATCAATTGGTCCCAGCCACTTGGAGTAAAGGACAACGAAGAACACCAAAGACACAAGGAAAGTATTGGCCCAAGAGACAGAATGGGCCACATAAACCAGAGACTTCATCAGCCTGAGACCAGAAGAACTAGATGGTGCGCGGCTACCACCAATGAACGTCCTGCAGGGAACACAACAGAGGGTCCCTGATGGATCAGTAGAATGATGGGATGCAGAACTCAAATTCTAGAAAGAAGACCAGACTTAATGGTCTGAGTAATACTGGAGGTGCCCCAGAAAGCATGGCTCCTGGTCTCTCTGTCACCCCAGAACAAAACAATTTCCGAGGCCAACTCTTCAGACAAGGATTGGACTGGACTGTGGGACATAAAGTGATACCCAAGAGGAGTGTGCCTCTTAGCTCAAGTAAATACAAGAGACCAAAGGGGCAGCTTCTGTCCGGAGGTGAGATAGGAAGGCAGAGAGGGTTAGGAGCTGGTTGAATGGACATGGGGAATCAGGGACGGAAAGGAGAAGTGTGCTGTCGCAGAATGGGGTGAGCAATTAGGGTCACATAACAATGTATGTATAAAATTTTGTATGGGAGACTAAGTAGAAATGTAAACTTCATATAGACTACAACAACTAAAAAAATAAAAGAAAAAAAGACATTCTCTTCCTTGAATGCCTGATACAGTTGACCCTTCCCAACATGGGATAACTGCCCTACTTTCTGGAGGAAGACCTCTTGGCCTCCTTTCTTGAATAAAGTTCCTGACTTTCTACACATGTAAATTAAAATTATAGGCGCCCTTAATTTTCACCCAGGTAGCCAGATTCACTTGAGGCAGACCAGGGACATGTCTAGCCACCAGCAAGGAAGCCATAAAAAGTAGAGGTTCTTTGGCTGCTCTCATCAGAACAGATTTGAAGCCACAAGAGCAAGGGGGAGCCAGTGCTGGTGCCCTGGGACAAACGGGAACAATCCCTGATGACGTACCATCCCCACAATGCCAGCTGTGGGCAACATGAGACCTTCATGCTATTCACTGCCTTGCTCCTCTAAGAATAGCCAAAGAACAAGATTACCTCAAATAAGAATATGGGATATTTTATACAGTTGTGCACAGCGGCAACTTTTTAGAGCTATCTGTATTCTAACTGAACTCTTTTTCCCTCCAAAAATCACTGACATCACATCTAAATCATCCAGGTAGAGTAATAACTGTTGGGAAGTTAATGATTAGATGAATATACATAATATGGTCATTTGAAACCACCCTGTATTTCAGCAGTGTGTTCTCACATTTCTGTAAAGAAAGTAATCATAAGGACTGAAGTAGACTGAAGAAGGAAACTGTATTAACATATTCTCAGAGTTCAGGTAATGCCCAAAGGACCAAACACTGGGAGGAAGCTGATTAGAATAATCTACGGTGTGTGATTAGCTGTGATTAGGAACAAAAAAATCTAAAACTGCTACACTGATTTTTTTTTTTCTTTTTTATCCTTACATATATTTAAGAGTAATATTTTCTAACAAAATAAGAAATGTCACATTGGATCATTCTACTGGTACTTTGTCTCTGACAGATGCAGCAAATGTAATTTGTGCTAAATAAAGGTAGTTATCTTTTATAATATCTGCTTCAATAGTTAAAATGTTTCTCCTCAAGGGAAGACTGACGAGTCCAAAGGACTAATAGACGACAACTACCATGGCCTCCACCAGACTGAGTCCAGTAAAACAAGATGGTGCCTGGCTACCACCACTGACTGCTCTGACAGGGATCACAACAGAGGGTCCCGGACAGAGCTGGAGAAAAATGTAGAACAAAATTCTAAGTCTAAAAGACCAGACTTACTGGCCTGACAGAGACTGGAGAAACACCGAGAGTATGGCCCCCGGACACCCTTTTAGCTCGGTAATGAAGTCACTCCCAAGGTTCACCCGTCAGCCAAAGATTAGACAGCCCCATAAAACAAAACGAGACTAATGGTGCATAACAGCCCAGGGACAAGGACTGGAAGGCAGGAGGGGACAGAAAAGCTGGTAATAGGGAACCCAAGGTTGAGAAGTGTTGACATGTCGTGGGGTTGTTAACCATTGTCATAAAACAATATGTGTACTAACTGTTTAATGAGAAACTATTTGTTCTGTAAACCTTCATCTAAAGTACAATTAAAAAAAAAGTTTCTCCTTCAGTTCTTCCCTGCTCCTTAATAATGTATCATGTATTTGCCCTTTACAAAATTAACCTGAACTATATCCAATCAGACTTTATTTTTAATAACTATATATCCTTTAAGGTCTTGGTAGTGTGCTGCAGTTCCAAATCTATGGCATTTAATCAACAAGTCACATTAATCTCATCTAGAACCAAATGGTTTTAAAGCAAATCTAAGTGCCTATCCTTTCCGATCTTTATTTCATTAATGAAATAATATATCATGTGCTGGCATTGGCATGCTATATGAACCTCCACCAAATTCAGTTCAATTAAGAATCAAATTAAGTCAATTTAAAAATCAACTCACAACACTGTGTGATCTTCTGGATGTTGGAAGAGATGCGCTGGGCCAGAAGGGCGGGGTCACCACCGATTCCTGGAGTGTAAGACATGGCTGATTTGCTTAGTCACTAATTTCATCAGATGTTGGTGGGCTGTCCAGATAGTTTTCCAAGCAGTCACCTAAACAACATAAAAGTCACATAACTGTATTTTCAAAGTTATTGGCTTATATTTTCCACGTTATCAATCTGAGAGGTTACAAGTATAAACTTCATTAATTTAACAGGAAAATCTAGCAAAGGTACACACCAAACAACAAAACTCTCATGTCTAGGGGAAAAACTTGGTCTTCAAAGGACAGACTCATGTTAAACATGTTTAGCAATTAAAATAAGGTTCAAATTGCATATTCCCTTTGAAAATTTCCTTCATCTCTCTAAGGCAGAGTTATTAGGTCCCTTTTGTGTATATCATTTTAATTGTTTATATATTTTCTCCTTAACTAAACTGTAAGCAACTATGAAGCAAGGTCTTTCTTTTCCCACCATTTAGGCCACTTCCTGGCACAGAACAGGCATTTACGTATCTGTTCAACAAATACAGACTTTAGGCTATCCCTAGAAATGTCATTACATGTAATTTAACACACACAGGAAGAGCTCAGAAACATATGACTAACCGATTGCTGTCGAGTCGACCCCAACTCATAGCGACCCTATAGGACAGAGACAAACTGCCCCATAGAGTTTCCAAGGAGCACCTGGTGGATTCAAACTGTTGACCTTTTGGTTAGCAGCCATAGCACTTAACCACTACGCCACCAGGGTTTCCCATGTGACTAATGGATCTCTAATATTAATGGAAAAAAAATGTCGAATTTGAGATAGCAGAGCCAACTACCGAGAAGAGAAAGATGTCCTATAAAATGTTCATCACACCTTCCCAACAGAGCAAAGAGAACAAACAGCTCTTCCCTTCCAGAGGCCAGCATCTTAGGACAGGAAGCAAAGCTGCGATACTGCTAGAGGACGGAAGTAAAATGAAGTTCTTTTCTTCTTCGATCCACACTACACCACTCAGGGTTTGGAAAGAAGGCCCAAAAAGGGGTCCCTGCATACAAGACTGTGAACAGCAAAGAATTTCAACTACCCCTGCACCCATCTTTTCACTGACTATGCATTGGAATGCCGCAAAGTCAAGGGCAGTCAATTTCTAAGCCAACTCTCTACTAAGAGCTTGCTACATGCTTAGCATTCAACTAAGTACTTGAGAGATAAAAATAAACAAAAACAAAGATAAAGTATCTGCTAAAATCAAGTGTGTAATTTAGAAGAAAGGATAAAGTTAACAGTGTAAAACAGCAAAAAACAATACAAAGCAGTATCATGTTAAGTACTAGGCAAAAATTGTCTAGAAAGGATTATGCAATAGACATACTTGTGTATGGCTGGTATGAGAACAACAAAGGTAAAGACATGAAGACTGGAGTGGATAGACCCAGAACATGTGGAAAGGGCAAATGCAGTGGGGTATTTACCAAAGGAAGGTGAGGGCCCTTGTTAACCCTGGACCAGATGATTCATTGTTGAGACAAGGGTGAGACAATACAGAAAGCGAAAGAGGGGAATGACCTAACACTCACTGCACATCCGTGAAGTGATAAACTTTCCACAGATTATCTTTTAATTTTCACAATGTTTCTCTTAAAGTAGGTAGTGCTATCCTTGTTTTAATGACGAGCAAGCTGTGGCTTATAAAGATGAAGTAACTGGCCCAAGAAAACTCAACAAGCACAAGGCAGTGGTGGGATTCAATCTCATTATTCTGATTACAAAGCTACTCATCCTTGCTACCACACAAAACTAATGTCACAGAAAAGGGACGGCACTGGTTACCAGGTTTAGTTAGAATGTTGCAGTAAGATGTCACTGTAGGTTTCTGGTAGAGGAGAAGAGGCCACAATGAGATACACGTGTCTTTGTTCTCAAAAGGAAGCTGCTGGTGGAAAAGTACAACAGCTGAACTGTTGAGTCTGGTGGAACAGTACAGGTTCCATGCCTGAAACTGGTGCAAAATGAAATGTGCCTGGCCACCTTTGAAGTCCTGGAAGCTTTTAGATGCTTTCCATTACTCTGCATTGTTCCATACTATCGGTTTATCTACTCTGGGCCCATCAGCCTCCCTAAATGCTGGAGGTAGACTCAAACAATTTAACAAAAGGGTAAATTTAAACCTCAACTCAGAGAGCTGAAGTGCTACAGCAGGCAGCAAGAATAAATTTTGTTCCAAGTAGCCTTGGACTTGGGCCAGCAAGAAACCTGAAGAGCTGGGACCCAGACAGAATAAGACCAGATCTAGGGATTCAATGAGACCAACAACATCCTGAGCATCCTCCAAAGCACCAATTGGACCTCTAAGTTCTGTACTTTTTTTTTTTTTTTAAATAAGAGCTTCGTTGAGATATAGTTCACATACTAGACACTTTATCCATTTAGTGGATAAGTCAATGGTTTTTTAAATATATTTAGAGTTGTGCAACATCATACACAGAGAAAAGATTGAAGTTGTCAAAGATTTCAATTTACTTGGATTCACAATCAAGGTCCATGAAACAAGCAGTCACGAAATCACATGACATATTGCACTGGGCAAATCTGCTGCAAAAGACCTTTTTAGAGTGTTAAAAAGCGAAGATGTCACCTTAAGGACTAAGGTGCACCTGACCCAAGCCATGGTATTTTCAATCACCTCATGTGCATGTAAAAGCTGGACAATGAATAAGGAAGACCAAAGAAGAATTGATGCCTTTGAATTATGGTGCTGGTTAAGAATACTGAATATACAATGGACTGCCAGAAGAATGAACAAATCTGTCTTGGAAGCAGTACAGCCAGAATACTCCTTAGAAGTGAGGGTGGCAAGACTTCGTCTCACGTATTTGGGCATGTTATCAGGAGGGACCAGTTCTTGGAGAAGGACATCAGGCTTGGTAAAGGAGAGCATCAGCAAAAGAGAGGAAGACCCTCAACGAGATGGACTGACCCAGTAGCTACAACAATGGGCTCAAACATAGCAACGATTGTGAGGATGGCACAGGACTGGGCAGTGTTTTGTCCTGTTGGCCACTACGAGTTGGAATTAACTGAAGGGTACCTAACAAAAACAAAGCAACCATTACCAAAACCAGTTTCAGAACATTTTCATCATGTCAAAAAGAAACCCTGTACCCATTTACAGTCACTCTCCACTTCCCTCAAGCCTCTCCGGCCCAAGGCAACCACTAATTTACTTAATGTCTTTATAGGTTTTCCTATTCTGGACTTTTCACATAAATGCAATTATACAATATGTGATCTTTTGTGACTGGCTTCCTTATTTTAGCATGTTTTCAAGGTCCATCCATGTTATAGTATGCATCATTACTTCATTCTTTTTTATTGCCAAATAAATTTCCACTGTATGATATATCACATTTTAATTCACCTATTCATCAGTTGATAGACATTTGGGTTGATAGCACTTTTTGGTTATTATGAATAATGCTGCTATAAACATTCCTGTACAAGTTTTTATGTAGACATACACAAATGGAACATGTTCTCATTTCTCTTGGGTATAAACCTAGGAGAAGAATTGCTGGGTCATACGGGTAACTCTAAGTTTAATCTTTTGAGGAACTGTCAGACAGTTTTCCAAAGCTGCACCATTTTACATTCCCACCAGAAATATGAGAGTTCCAATTTCTCTACATCCTTGCCAACACCTGTTATTTATTTTTATTATAGTTATCCTAAAAAATAAAAACCAAAGCCGTTGTCATCGAGTCAATTCCAACTCATAGTGACTCAATAGGACATAGGAGAACTGTCCCATAGGGTTTCCAAGGAGTGGCTAGTGGATTCAAAGAGCTGACCTTTTGGTTAGCAGCCACAGCTCTTAACAACTGTGCCACCAGGGCTCCATCGTGTCCTGGCGGATATGAAATGGAATTCTGTTTTGGTTTTGATTTGCATTTCTTTGATGGCTAATGATGCTGAGCATCTTTTCAAGTGCTTTTTGGCCATCTGTATGCTTCTTTGGAGAAATGTCTATTCCGATCCTGTGTACATTTTTTAGGTAGGCTGTCTTTTCATCATTGAGCGGTATGAGTTCTTTACATATTCTAGATACAAGTCCCTTAGCAGATACGGTATTTTCAAATATTTCCTCCCATTTTGTGGGTTGTCTTTTAATTTTCTTGATTCTATCCATTGACGCAAAAAAGTTTTTAATTTTGATGAGGTCCAATTTATCAATATTTTTCTTTTGTTACTTGTGCTTTTGGTGTTATTTAACACGTCTTTGCCTAGCCCAGGGTCACAAAGATTTACTCCTATACTTTATTCTATGAGTTTTAGCTCTTGCATTTAAATCTATGATTCATTTTGAGTTAATGTTTGTGTACAGTGTAAGGTCCACACACCTGCTGATTTTAAGTCTATTTCTTTCTCAGCTCATCTATGCAACTTTGTCCATAGGACACCAATAATAAGTCCTTTGGGGGTAAAGGCCTGTGAATTTGATTTTTTTTTTTTAATCCATTAAATGGCAGGATGTAAGACAATTTTCTCTTGGCTCAACGATATCTTCCTTTCTTGTTCTCCACGATTAACAAGATTATCTGGAAAAACTGGCTTACAGCCAACATAAACACACTGAATGAGGAAATGTTCCTTTCTCTTATTTATGTACCATTTGTGCCACGCAGGGATTGACTCCATGTGCTCTCTTAGGGGGGCTCCTCTACCCACATGACTCCATTAGAAGTTATACCCTTAATGAGCCTCGGATCCACATCTCCAAGTCATACTCTTAACTCTCCAGTGTCTACATGTCTTTGAGGCTACAGGAACTCATCAATTGTCTTTTCAGCTGCCAGTGGAAATTCTATGCCAACTGGACTCCCTAGTTTGGGCAAGACCCTTAGCATTTGGGCCTGTAGCCAGGATCAAAATGAGATCATGCACGTCCAGGGACCAAGTGCTGTTCCACCCTACACAGAAGAAAAGTATGATCTGCTCTTGCCCCTGCATGTTCAGCACTAACACAAGACCATGACAACTTCACCTGCTTCAGGACCACACGACCACATAACTATCTGAGGCCCCTTTCTCTCTCATAGAGAGAGTAAAATCACTGAACCCTGCCAAGTCAAGCATAGTACTGTAGTATTTCACTTAACCCTCAAAACTCATGCAAGTTTAGCCTGAGCCTTCTCACTGTTTTCTTTAAAATCTCCTCCTCTCTCTCTTTAGAGAATCAACCAATTAGCATTTACTAAGCACCTATATATTATTAAGTGCCTATATATTAAACACTGGTGCAGGACTGGGCAGTGTTTCATTTCATTGTACGTGGGGTTGCCATGAGTTGGGAGCTGACTCGACTGTGGCTAAAAACAATATAAGATATGATCCTTTCCCTCAAAGGACCTATAATCTAGTTAGGACATAAATGAAATACTTGTAATAATCACAGAAATATACAAGATCTAATAAGGTGGTATAGATCCTCAGTGAATCTGAGGGTGATAATTCCACCAAATTCTTTTAGCTCAGTTTCTCTATCACTCAACTATTATATTCTTCGGTTTTAGTTCAAAATACCATGGATTATTTTTTACCTTTCCATACACTGTCATATTAAATGGAATCACAGCAGACTTTACTCAGACTTACTGAAGGTGTTTTATGATTTATTTTTCAATCACCGGCACTCAGCTCAAGTTTGGGAGCATAACCAAAACTAAGGCATTTCTCTTTATTTTGAATTTACAGGGTTGACTTTGTTATGGGGAAAAGCAGAAATAAAACATCTGAAGAAAAAAAGATGATGCAGACGTTAATGACTTAATATGGTATCACATTAACTTCTACAGAAACTTTGAAACTAGAGCGTAATTCTTAACTAGTCACAAGTTGGAAGCAAACTTCTAAAAGTGGCCTGCAAAGCCACCTGTCACAAGACACAGTTTAACACTGTTATTATCAGTCTGCCCAGGTGCAGCTCAGGCTCCCTCAGAGCCGAAGAAATGTCTATCTACATTACTAAACAGCACAGCATTTCATAATTACGTGCTTTTCTTCCAGATTCTGTGCAAGTTTTATATAAACAGAAAAGACACAATGACCTGAAGCAAACAAAAATTAATGTAAATATATGAATCAAGCAAATGTAAGAAATCTGAGAGAAAAAATATAGCATTTGACCAGAAAGGCAAAGTCCTTTTTTCTTTCTGGGGTGGGTGGCTGGGTGTGTGTGTGGGAGTGTGTGTGTGTGTGTGTGTGATTTTAAAGAAAGTAAGCAACCTAGAAGACAAGGGTGGTGGGGGGAGTCCTGGGATATTTTATATATTTTTAAAGGTCTTTGTGTAAATCAGCTAAAGACAAGTATTAAGGTCAAAGAAAGTTGAAGTGTCAACCAATGTCATCAAACCAAATAACAAACCAAATACAACGAGCTTCTTGAATAAACGTACATCGTTCGGTTACTATAACCATATATTTTTCAGTTCCTCTCTATTCAGGAAAAGAACTTTAATGTGTGTTTATTAAATCCGTGAGATAAAAAGAGGAAGAGGCCCATACATTTCGAAGAGGCACAAGTGTAGGTCTAGACTGTCCCTTGATGCCGGGGCTCTGGCGCGCTGCTCCGCACCCAACCCGCCAGTGCGCCTCGGCCCGCGAGGCCCAGGGGCGGCGGCCCGGATGCAGCGAAGAGCCGCGGGCGCCAGGCTGGCCGGACCGGCCAGGGCCGTCGCTGCCCTCCCCGCAGCCCCGGCCTCACGCGCCAGGAATGTGGGCCGCCCCGGGCAGGGGGGCGTGGGCAGGAGCGGGCGCTCCCGGAGCCGGGGCCCTACCCTTCGCGATCTGCCGCTGCAGAGCGCAGGGCGGCGGCCACCTGACAATGCTCACAAACAAGGAGGCACGGAAACCGCAGCAAAGGCACCGCGGCTTCGGCACACCAGGCCAGGGGGCCCCCTCCCGGGAGTCGTCTTACCCCGATCTCCTCTGCTTCCTCCTCCTCCAGCCACGGTCACCCACCGGCCAGAGACCCAGCTACAATTTTCAGCTGATGGGCGGTGGCGCTGGGAAGTCCAGTGCGCATGTCTGCAGCTCAGCCCAGGGAAGGAGGCGGGGCTCGCTTCTCCCCCATTGGCCCGCGGAGCTGAGTGACAGCATCCGTCTCCCGCCCCCTCGGTCTGAGCTAAGGAATCGGGGTAGCAGCAAAACTGGCGGGGAGGTGTTTCATTTGGCCTGCCATACCCATGGTGAACGCCTTAGCCTGCGTGCAAAAAAGAAGGGGAGGACATGGAGGGCAGCTGTCTTCTTTAATGGGTGAAGCTAGCCTTCCTAGACACGTGTCTTCACCACGCCCCATCAGCTCATACATGTCTTGTTTCCTAACCCTTAACTCTGCAGTAGTCGGTATTCACAGCTCCGTGAAGGCGTAGGAACACAATACACGAACCTAGCAGGAATAATGAAAGAATAAGTGAAGAGTCACCTCAGTGTGCGCAGTTAGTAGTCAAATTTTCATTGTACAGACAAGCCATTCGAAGCATTCTTGAAGGTCAGGGCACAGTTTTCATAGGTTTGAAAAGAGCTGAGAACGTTCTAAGGACAAATATCCAAACATAATTGTTAGATGAAATGCATCAATTGCTTTAGGTGAAAAAGATAATTCATTAAATTAATTAGAAGATAAATTGGCTTGGCCTTTCTCTATATTAAGGCAATGATATTTTCTGAAAGGATTATCAGGATATGTGACATTAAAAGTCCAGATTTAGGGAGTGGGGGGTGGGAGGCAGAATACTTTGAATTGGGACTACCTGAGAAAATTCTAGATCGTTGGTGTTTGTTGTTGTTGTTAGTTGCCATGGAGTCTATTCCAACTCATGGCGACCGGTAACCTAAAGGTTGGCGGTTTGAATACACCCATTGGTACCACAGAAGAAAAGGCCTGGTGATCTGCATAAAAATTATAGCCAAGAAAACACTATGGAGCAGTTCTACTCTGTAACACATGGGTTTGCTGTGTTTGGTGTTATACATACCAAAAAAAAAAACAAAACAAAAAACAACAACCAAACCAGTTGCTCTCAAGTTGATTTGGACTCATGGTGACCCCATGCGTGCAGAGTAGAACTGCATTCCATAGGGTTGTTGAAGCTGTGACCTTGGGCCTGTCTGTCTGAGTGCCTCTGGGTAGGTTTGAACCACCAACCTTTCTGTTAGTTGTCAAACCCTTAAGCCTTTGCACCATCCAGGGACTCCATGTTATACATATAAGCATATGTAAATGAGTAAGGTCAGTCCGGGCTAAGAAACCAAGTATCTCTCAGTCTATTTCTCATTTTCTCATCTTGACAGAGAAATGGGTACAAGAAATATTTTTTTCTCTCATCTTTAGTAAAGAAAACTACAGTGTAAGTGTGATGATAAGCAGCAACTTACATATTGCCTCAATGAGGTGGGGGCAATAGGCAGAGGTGGGGGCAATAGAGAGAGGGGGTCATGCTGGTTAAGGAGAAAGTATACACCCCTTCCAAAGGGGCAGCATGATTCAAGTAGAACCAACTACAGCCTTTCAGCAATATTAGACTAATATTGTCAAATTATCTGATTTTGCAAAAGGTAACAATGGAAATTCAGATTTTTATGTGAAATCTCTCCTTCTTCCAATATTCCTAATTTTGATAAAACAAAATATGTGTGTTTCAACCTCTATGTTGTTGTTAGCTGACATCAAGTTGGCTCCAATTCATGGTAACCGTACGTATAACAGAGAAAAACATTGCCAGATCCTGCACCCTCTTCACGATCATTGGTATCTTTGAGTCCAGTAGGACAATATTTTGTTCTGATCTATACAGTTTTCACTGGCTAATTTTCAGAAGCAGATCACCAGGCCTTTCTTCCTAGACTGTCTTAGTCTGGAAGCTCCACTGAAACCTGTCCACCACTGGTGACCCTACTGGTATTTGAAATACTAGTAGCATAGTTTCTAGCATCATAGCAACAAGCAGGCCACCACAGTACAACAAACTGAGAGACTGGTGATCAACCTCTATAATGGGCAATCACATCAATCATAGAGTATTAAAGCTGGAAAGAACCTTACAGAAAATCTGGCTCGACTTCCTCTTTTCACAGACGAGAGAAACTAAAACCCAAAGAAACTTAATCAAAGTCACACAGATAATTTTGAGCAGCACAGGTCCAGATAAACTGCTTCAAAATCTAGAGTTCTTAGTATCATCATCCATTCAGCAAATATTCACTGAGAGCCTGCCAGGTGTCAGGCACTGCGGATATTGTGATGAGTAGGATATAGTATTTTCCCTTAAGGAGCTCAGGGAGTGAGATCCTTCCCCAGACTTTGTAAGAGGTGATGTGATAGAGATTTGTACAAAGCACAGTTGGAGCCCAGAGATGGGGATGCCTACTGTTGGTCCATAGAAGTTTCCAAAAAAGAAGTGTTAGCAGAATCTTGAAAAATGTGTAAAATTCACCAGGAAGACAAGAAGGGAAAGGACATCCAGACAAAAGGAAGAGCACATAGACATTCATGAAATCATAGGTAATCATAAACTTTTAGGGATCTGTATATAAGTTTATTATTATGGAGCCTTGGTGGTGCAGTGGTTAAGCATTCAGCTGCTAACCAAAAGGTCGGCAGTTCAAATCCACCAGCTGGCGGCTCCTTGGAAGCCTTATGGGGCAGTTCTACTCTGTTGTATAAGGTCGCTGTGAGTTGGAATCGACTTGATGGCAACGAGTTTGTTTTTTGGCATAGCAGATTATGTCTTAGTTATCTAGTGCTGCCGTAACAAAAAATACCACAAGTGGGGTGACTTTAAAGAACAGAAATTTATTTTCTCATGGTTTTGGAGGCTAGAAACCAAAATCAGGGTATCTGCTCTAAGGGAGAGTCCTTCCTCATCGGTAGTCCTGGGCATTCCTTGGCATTCCTTGGTTTGTAGACAATTTTTTGCATGATCTCTTCCTCCTGTGTGTCTGTGTCCATTCTGCTCTTTTTATAAAACACCTCTCAGAAGTGATTAGATTTAGGACTCATCCTATTCTGGTATGACTTCATTATCACAATAAAAGAAAAACCCCATTTCCAAACTGGGCCTTACTTACAGGTACAGGGGTTAGGATTTCAACATATTTTTTCCATAACAGATGGAAATCTGGAAAGCAAGTTGGGCTTAGATAATGAAAAGCCTCTCTATGATATTAAGCAACTATCTAATAGACGTTGAACCATTAAAGGATTTTAATCAAGGGAATGATGTGCTTATAATTCCACCTTACAAAGAAAATTCTAGGATAGGGGGGAAAATTAAAGGGAACTGAAGGCAGGGCAAGATCACTTAAGAGGTTGCTGGAATAGTAACATTCACCTATTAAGAGTCTCCTCAATATTAGAGATATTTAAGGACTGCACTAAGGCAAAATATATGGAGAGAAGAAATGAAGATTGGTTTGAGAAATATGCAAGAAGGCTTGGAAATCAACTAAATATGAAGCATGGAGAGATAATTCCTACTCTTATGACATGCAAAACTGAGATGAACATGATGTAGTTACCTAAAATCTAACATCACTAAGAAAGCAACTGCAGTTTGGGGAAAGAGTGGGGAAGTGAGATTTGTATTTAAGTTTCTGGGTAATGATGTAATTGGTGTCAAGGAATTGTATGTGTGAAAAAACGTTGAATGGGCAAATGTCATGCTATCTATATTTTTACAACAATGAAAAAAGATTCTGGGGAAGTGATACCCAATAGGAGATGCCCAATGTCATCAGGCACTTGAAAATGTGAGCTGAAGTTCAGAGCAGAGTTCTAGCTGGTGCTATGGAAGAGAGGAGCTCACTAACTCAAAGCGTCGATGTTATGAACTACCTGTATTTAAGGGATGGACAGAGAAAGAAAAACTCTGCAAAAAAGTAATGAGAGAGACCGGAAGTAAATTAGGAAAAAGTGAAGTAGAGAATGAAGGAATGCATTTCAAAAAGAGGGAGGAGTCTATGATGATGTCACATACCACAGAAAGCTCAAGTAAACTAAGAACTGAATGTTGTGCACAGGACTTGAGAATAAAGAAGTGGTTGGTAAACTTAGGAAGAAGTGTCTCAATCATTTGAGGAAATATCATGAAGTCTAGTGCACTTTCCAAACTTCCTTTCCTATTCCCTTTTATAGAACCCTGGGCTGTGGGAGAGGAAGGTACTAGGCACTATAGAAGAAGAAGAACCTGAGGCTAAGTGACCTTTTTGGATTATCCTGCTAATTTCTGACTGAACTGAGGCCAAAGCTCAGCTATCTGACTCCTCCTCATGGGCTTGTTCTAATTTCCCATGTTTTAAAATATGTTATGAGTGGATTCCTTCCAGGTCTTTTGAAAAACTAAAAATGGGATTTCACCTCTTTGTATTCAAACGGAAAAAAAAAAAAGTAAGTATAGTTTAGGGAACCCTGCCAAATTTAAAGTACTAGAGGATAAATGTTTTCCAAAGGAGTTTCTAATATTTATAATATTCCTTCTGAGGATCTGCCTGATACTTAGTAAAATTCAGCCAGGTCATTTGGACCTAGTAGGGCTCAAAATATTGTTGATTTAACAAGTGCTATTGCCACCTCTGGAGCCCTGGTGGCACAGTGATTAAAAGCTACAACAAGCTATGGCTGCTAACCAAAAGATGGGCAGTTCGAATCCACCAGCCACTCCTTGTAAATCCTATGGGGCAGTTGTATTCTCTATAGGGCTTCTATGAGTCAGAATCGACTTGAAGGCAACAGGTTTGGGTTTTTTTTGGAATGTAACCGCTCCCCCCCAAAAATCCTTTACACTTGCAAGATTTACCTATGACTGAAATCTTGTAATTTGGAATATTCAGAGTTAGTAATTCTTGATATTCTGGCCTTCTGGCAGAGGTTTTGAAGAACGAACAGAAGTAAGTCTTTGAGCCGGAATGGATCATCTACATACTTACTATCTCATTAATATAAATACCACCTACGTAACCTCTGCCATGTAGGATACAGAGTTGTTCACTGCTGTATTGATAAGCATCTGGAACAATGATGTTAGTAAATGGTAGAATGTAATTGCCTGTTCATTTAATAGTCACTAAGCTAAAAATATTTTTAAAGTGCCCACTACGTAGACTT